GATTGTTAGGACAAACAAAGATGATCTCAAGTGCCCAGCACACAACTTATACCCACTGGGGCCATCATTATTGCACTGGCCCTATCATGGAGAGTTGTCTAGTCTTTTTAGGTCCTGTGTATTGCTCGGAAAGGCTCCTAGGGGGAAAAAATTACATCCTTTATACTGCTCTCACATACAACTTAGAAGACAGGGATTCAACTCTGTAAGATTCACATACATAAGAGAGAGAGAGGTGGCCTTCTAGTTGGATGAGCCTTTTCCAGGCACTTCTTGAGATGCCGCAGGACAACTGAAAGAAGAAAGCCTGAGAGATCAGCTACTTTGGGAGACACCTACAGAAAGAGCCCATGAATGAAGAAGGCTTTCCTGAACACTGATCAGGGAAAGCCATGTTTGGGGCATTGAGGCAGAGGTCTCTCCCTACTGAAGAACTCAATGAGCCCTGGCTGGTGTGGCTCAGTGGCTGAGTGAGGGTCTGTGAACTGAGAGGTCACAGGTTCAACTCCTGGTCAGGTCCCTGGTTGGGGGAGTGCAATAGTCAACAGATTGATGTATCTCTCCACATTGTTGTTTCTCTCCCTCTCTTTCTCCCTCCCTTCCCCTCGCTATAAAATAAATTTAAAATCTTTTTCAAAAAGCTCATTGCAGCTGCAGAGAGAAAACAATGAGAATGGAAAAATTCAAGTTAAAATAATGACAAATGGGGGCTGTAAGCTACAATCTAAAGTTGATGAAAAGTTCACAGTGGTGAGAACACTAAGATCCTCTATGAAGTTATACCCTGTTCATTACTGCATTCGTTACACTTGAATACTTAGGTATTTGTTTGTTTATTTATCTTTAGAGAGAAGAGAAGTGAGAGTGAAAGAGAGAGAGAGAAACATCAATGTGTGGTTGCCTCTTGCACACCCTCTACTGGGGACCTAGCCTGCAACCCAGATATGTACCCTGGCTGGGAATTGAACCAGTGACCCTTTGAATCACAGGCCAGCACTCAATCCACTGAACCATACCAGCTAGGGCAGATATTTCTTTATAAAGCATATACGCAAATCATGTCTATCACACTTCATGGGATTTAGGAACTTGTCAAGGGGCATCTTTAATAAATCCAGATTTCTGTTTTTTGTGTTATCTTTAGATCCAGGCCTGCATAACATGTGACTCCACTAAATAGTACAAGAAGTGAATAAATGAGTAGGTAGAACTCCCCATGGAGTAAAGCCTTAGAGGCCACACTTAGACCCAAGGTCAGGGGCTTGCTTGAGGTCAGAGGCAAAAATGAAGACAAAGGACAATGAGACATTCCCAAGACTTATATTTCTGTGGAAAAGGACCTCACCAATATATCAGCCCCCTCCTTTACCATTGCATTTGGGTATGTAAGTTTGGTGTGACAACTTAACATGCCCTAAAACTGCTCCACAGGCTTCTGAGTTAATGGCTGCTTTTGTTCTAGGTGCTCAGGTCAGGAACCTTGGCATTGTCCTCAAACTTTCTCACCCCTCAGATCTAGTCCATCAGCAAACCCCTCAGACCCACTTCAGAAGAAGATCACTTGTTACTACCTTTCCATCCTCAATCCCCAGGCTCCCCAGTCTGACTCACCACCTTCCGCCCTGCACTGGCTGGCAGCCCTGCACTGGCTGACAGTCCTGCTGCCCCATCCTGTCCTCCCTGCCTTCAGTCTGTTCTCACACAGCAATAATCAGCATGTCTCTGTTAAAAGCTAAGTCAATCCACGTCACTCTTCTAACTCAAAACCTTCCAATGGCTCCCACCCCCCTCTCAAAGTAAATCCAGAGGCCTTTACCACATGCCACATGGCCTTACATAACCCAATTCCCATTGTTTCCCTGACGTCAAATGTAAATGCTGTCTTCCTCCTGCCTCAGGGCTTTTGCATTTGCCATTTCCTCACAGGGAATGCTCTTCCCCCAGCTATAACTCACTTCCTCCACCTCTTCAGTCAAGAGCAACTCAGGCATTCCCAGTCTACCTTTCCTAAAAGTTCAGCTCCCTTCCCAACACTCAATACCACCAATCCTGCCAGATTCTACTTCAAAATACAATGTCTCATTGTCTACCTCCCCACTAGTGTGTGAGCTCTATGTGGGCAGGGAATCTCCATTAAGCATCCAGAGCACCGAAAACACTGCTAGCCACACAGCAGCCTCTCAATAAATGCATTAAGTGTGTGAAAGGCCTATGAAAAGTATAAGCTGCAAGCAGACTTCAGTTATTGGAGAGCCAACAATCTAGAACCTGTGACAGAATGACAGGCTGGAAATAGCAAGGCCAGGGAGAAAATGGAGAAAGTGCCATAAAGCACACAAAGGACTTGCTTAAACCCCATGGTAGTAATAATGCACAGCTTAACCTGGAGCAGGGATGTTCCCTAGCAAAAGCATGAAAGGAAGCCCAGACATGCAGCCCTTGGAAGAGAGAAGAACTGAAAGAACTGCAGGGAGTGAAAATAAATTAATGAGGTTATCTGGCCTTGGGATTAGTGTGTTGGGAGTTTTACAGGCAAGGACTGGAAACAGGTCATGAAAAAACCGTAAAATGTTTCAATTTTAAAAAGCCTAAAAGGATTAAATAAAAATACATTTTTAAAAAGCTTTCATTAAGAAGTACAAAGCACTATATAACTTCAAATTATAATTGCTGACTTTTAATTCCCTTAACCAAAATGGGAAAATTCTTTAAGCTACCAGTGGTGCCAGAAATTAGTCCCTAAATAGATCCCAGGTGTGTCTTTAGAGACACTGAAGAAGATGGCAAAAGCCAACTCAGAATTTCCAAAATCCAACAAAGTAAACGTAAGGCTCCTCGAGGGCAAAAGACTGGGTTTTGCCCTGGCTGCTGTGGCTCAGTGGATTGAGCACCGACCTGCGAACTAAAAGGTCGAGGATTTAATTCCCAGTCAGGGCGCATGCCTGGGTTGCAGGCCGGGTCCCCAGTTAGAGGCATGGGGAGGCAATGTGTGAGAGATTGTATCTCTCGAACACTGATGTTTCTTTTCTCTCCCTCTCTTTCTCCCTCCCTTCCCCTCTCTCTAAAAAGAAATAAAATATTTTTTTTTAAAAAAGGACTGGGTTTCATCAACAATGATTTGATCAACCTCACCCAGCACCAAATTAGTGTACAGACTGATGGAAGGCTACAGGAGCTTACTCCTGGGCCATCTAATTCATTTCTGCAATGTCAAGTCCATTAGATTTTGCTACACAAACAGGATAGGGAGCGCAGCATGACACTGGCAAAACCCTTGTCAGTATTCCAGCCAGATACTTTAATGAGCATTTTTGAAACATCTTAACAGATATTAAACCTCAGCTTAATTACCTGTGTCACAGTTAGAAAACACACCTGCCATTCAACCATCTAAAATAAAAAGAAACTGTCAACATGAAAAGTTCTTAAAATACCTAGTTTCTTAAAGAAAAAAAAAATTTCACTCCCCACTCCAAGCAAAGACACCAAAAGAAAACTGCCCTAGTATTCAAAGAGAAGAAACCATCTTGGCAAAGGCAACAGTCCATAAATCAGAGAGCTCCTGCTCAGGCTGTCAAGTGAAATAGGTGGCAGGATGGGCACACCCACTTGCCTCATTTTAACTAGCGGTCGTGCCACGAGGACTTTAAACTGGGCAGGTCCACTGCTGGCCTTTTAACAGGTCGGTGCCCAAAAGCTATTAAATTTTGGGTGAGTGAAAAGAGACCAGTAGTGATTGGTTCACAAGTGACGCTGATAAGTCTACCATAACCCAGTACAGAAATTCCGAGCTGAGAGGCCCTTTATAAATCTCACCAGAATCAAACTCCTTCGGGCCAGGCAGGCAAAGTCAAGTGAGAAGGTGAAAGGCAGGTGTAGACAACTGGAAATCGCGAAGCCCCCTGCCTAACAGCGTTCAAATGCGAAAACAAAATAAAAATGCTCCAGACACTCCAGATTCTAGCCTGCGGCTTTTTAAGAGGAAGAAACTGGCGGAGGGAGGTCACATGGCCAACTAATGACAGCTCAAACCAGACAGTCTCGGGACTCCGGGTCCCTCTCCTCGCACATCTCCGGCCATCTCTGCACTGGATGACCCAAATGTCAGCAGAGACAGCATCTTCGCTTCCCGTCTCCCAGCACTGCCAGAATACAAGTGGCTACTGCTAACGCACAGAACCCAGAAATGCCTTACGAGTGTGACTTTCTTCAACCTGCAGCTGCCCTCATTTACCCTTTGCCCTGATAATCAAGAATCTCCCATCAGTCATGCTTAAAACCCTCTGCAGGCCCAGTTCCTGTCAGCTATCCATCCAAGGGGACATATAAAGTCATAGGAAGGAGAAAATTCTGCGCCCTAAACTAGTCACACTCGAAAATGTCAGTTTCTCTTCCCAGCACGGTGGCAACAAGGGGGACCCGTGACAGGCCAGAGGGAAAGGGCTTGGGGTCGGAGCAGCTGCTTCTAAAATTACTTGGCGCAGCCTTTGTAGGAGAGAAGAAAGCAAAAAATGAAAAAGGCGGCACCCTCCAACCCCCGCCGTTCGCCGCCCCTCTTGATGGCCCTGAATTCCGGGGGCGGAAGGGGGGTCGGGGCGCCCTCACGCACCTCCTGCGGAAGAGCGAGGCGAAAGCGACCCCAGGACGGGCGGGCCGAGGGCCGGGGAGGAGGAGGCGGCGGTGGCCAACCCAGTCCCGGGGGGACCCCACTTGCCTCCCCGCGGCGCGGCCTGAGGGCCCGAGCGCGCTGCGGCTCTCGCGGCGGGCAGCGCTAAGCGTCCGGGGCCCCGGCCAGGCCCGGCGGGGACTAGAGGTCGCCGGGCATCCACCGACCCCACGGCGACCGGCCGGGGTTGGGGCGCGCAGGCCGCGCCGGGGGCCGGTGACAGCCCGCGGGGGCCGTGCCAGGCCGGCCTCGTGGACTCAGCTGGCACCTCGCGGTCCGACCGGCAAGCGCAGCCCAGCGGGCTGGGCGAGGGGCGCGGCGGCCCTGCTCTCACCTGGCTGCAGCTTGCCGGGCTCGCGTCCTGCCGCCGCGCCTCCCCGACGCAGTGCCCGCCACCGACGCCGCCGCTTCTGCCTCTGGTCCCCGCGACAGCCGCCTGCAAAATGGCGCCGCGGAGGGGCGGGCCGGGGGCGGGGAGCCGCGAAGCCGCCCGCCCCCGCGCCCGCCTGGGGCCCACCTCCCTCCCCGCCCAGGACCCCAGCCCTCCGGCCTCCCCCCGAAGGGAGAGGCTGCCCCCTCAGCCTGGAACGCGCCGCCAGGCATCCCGGATCTCTCGCCCCCACCACCTCCCGCCGGGTTCTCTGAGCGCCCCCCACCACGTTTCCTTTATTTCCCTCCCCCGAGTGGAAGTTGCCCCCCCTTGCGTCCCTTACCATCGCACCTGCTCCTGGGGACCCACCTGGAATGCAGAGCGCTCTCCCGAAGTCTCCCCCTCCTGGCGTCCCCTTTTTACCCTGCCTGACAGTGAGCTCTGTCAGCGCTCGGTGAAGATCATCAAGCAGTTTGCCGGGCATTGGGCTAAGAGAGTTGGATTATTTTAAGGCAATTTCACCTTTTCTCCAGTTAGGCCGCCAGGATTTTTAGCTTACTGGCAAAGAGGTCCTCGTTACATTGTGCAGACATGGTCCTAAAGACTGATGGGTCTCAGACTGGAATGCCCTGGAGATCGTGCGGGCTCTGAGGTGCAGCCCGAGATGCTGCGTTTCTAAAATACCCCAAATGCCGCTGAGCGGAAAGGCTGAAAGGACATCAGGAGCCCTGGACCTTTAGCGCATCGCTGCCTCACCTGGAGCGTTTCATTAAGATGCGGACGACTGGGCCCACACCCTGGTCTGCAGAGGCGGAGGTCTGAAACCAGGCTCCAAAATTTGCATTCCAAGGTGGTGCAGATGCTGTGGCTCTCTGGGGATCACGCTTAGCGAGCCACTGTTCTACACTATCAGAATGCATAGCGCCCACCCCCACCCCCCAAAAAACACTAATAATTAGCACTGTCATAGCACCTTCCATCTTGAAACCACTGTGTGGTTGCTATTGCAACCCAATAATGACTGATTAGTTATCAAGCAACTCTTCAGAAAGCTGAAGGATTGTAGACGGTGTCTGACCTCGCATGGGGAGGAGCAGATTTTATCATGGGAGTTTTCTGCCAGTTTTACAGTCTGAAGAACTCCATTACCGATATCACACACCTCAGTGTTTGTGTGTGACCTGTAACCGTGGGAATTTTATAAAATAGGTAAGTGTCAGTTCTGGGTCTTCAAGAATCAATAATATGTCATCCCATTTATGTTTCTAATGATGTGTATTAATAAAATATGAGAGTTGGCTCGCCCTCACTGATGTGGTTCAGTGGGTTGGGCATGGTCCTGAGAACTGAAAGGTCACTGGTGGGACTCCTGGTCAGGACACATGTAAAAGGCAACCAATCGATGCTTCTCTCACATTGGATGTTTCTCTCCCTCTCTTTCTCCTTCCCATCTCCTGTGTCTAAAAATAAATAAATACAATCTTTATTATATATGAGAATTGGCTGGTAAAATTCAATACACACTAGAAAGCCAGGTGTTTTGATCCCCATTGAAAATGAACACTATAAGAGATGAAGACTCCAAGACCGGCACCTAGGGAAAAATTTGCACTGCCCTGTACGACATCTAACACCCGCACCATCCTGCTACAGCAGTGAGAGGGTTTTCCCACCAAACTTTTTTTTTCTGAGTACTGTATGTCCTGCTCAGCCGGTGAACAGAAGTTGGGATCTAATTGTTGCACCTTCAGTATCTCCCTCTCTCTCCATAGGTAGTAGAGACTTTCCCTAGCCTTAAAAAATAAAAAAATTCCATTGTCCCAGGTCCCAGCCTTTAGCCTTCATGCCTCTTTTCCTTCCCCCTGAGAAAGATTACTCCCTGCTTTCTCAGACGTCAATAGTGACCTTCTAACTGTCAAATCCAATTGCCTGTTAAGGTCTTTTCGTTCTTTGATGGCTCTGTAACATTCCATTGACTTCTCCCTTCTTTTTTTTGTAATTTTTAAAAATATTTTTAAAATTTATTTTTAGAGAGAAGAGGAAGGGAGGGAGAGAGGGAGAGAAACGTAGATGTGAGAGAGAAACACTGATAGGTTGCCTCTCATATGAGCCCTGACAGGAGACCAAACCCACAACTCTGGCATGTGCTCTGACTGGGAATTAAACCCACAACTTTTCACTTTTCCGGAGGATACACAACGAACTGAGCCACACTGGTCAGGGCAACTCTTCCCTCCTTCTGGAAACTCTTTCCTAGTGATATCACTGGGTCTTGCTTACTGTCCTACACTTCCCCACCTTTCCTCTCAGCGATGTGTGAGTTGCTCATGCTCACCTCTACAAATGTTAGTTTTCCTTATCTCCTTTCCTTCCATCTTTTCCCCTCCTCTGCCCTTCTCAAACGTCCTCTGAAGGTCAGCCATCTCCTCCTGGTTCCCAAATCTCTCTCTCTCTGACCTTCGAGACACACATTTCCAGTTGTCCCTTAGACAAACTCCTCTGGATAGCATCCAAGAATTGTCAATATGTCATCTCCACAACTCAACTCATTACTGTCCTCCCACAGATTTGTGTCTTATCTGGATTCTCTCGTTTTGTCTCCAGAAACTCTGAAGTCAACTTTGACTGCTTGTCCCTCAGCCCCCATGTCCAGTCTGTCACCTATGACCAACTGGAGCAGGGAAGTGTGTCTGGAATTCTCTTCTCTGCACTCACTATCCCAGACTCTTACTTGCTCTTCCGTGGATTGTTGATCAAGTTCCTCTCTGGCCTCTTGGCCTTGAGAATTATCTCCCAAAGTCATTTTTGTTATCTTCCCAAAGCATAGCACTGACCACCTCACACCCCTTCTGGAAAGCCTTCAGATCCTCCCAGTCTACCTAATAATGAGGTAAAAAAGAAACAGAACGTGGGTTGTTTATCAGGCCTGCATTTGCCTTCACTGTCTAGTCTCCAGCTGCTTTTTCTTTTCTGGACAAAATATTACTTTTTATGGTATTAGAGGATGACCCTGGCTTCAACTTTGCCTGCAAGGTTGTAAGACTGAAATGAGGCCATTTATATAAAGTGCCTATTCAGTGCTTGAATATGTAAGCATTTGCTCTGGCTGGGTTGCTCAGTTGGTTGGAATGTTGTCCCATACACCAAAAGGTGGTGGGTTTGCTTCCCCACCCCTTTCCCCCAAACAGGACACATACCTAGTCATGGGTTTCATCCCCAGTCAGGGTGAGTACAGGAGGCAACCAATCAATGGTTCTCTCTCACATTGGTGTTTTTTTTTTCTCTCTTTTCATTCCTCTTTCTAAAAATCAATAAACACATTCTTGGGTGAGGATTAAAAAATACAAAGGAATATGTAAGTGTTCAATCAATGTCCTTACTTTTATATAATTATTTTATCATTGTCAATTCAAAAAATACAGAATTTCCTGATTTGTTTTCTCTTCCTTTCATGTCCTATTCATTTTCCATTTCTATTACAGCTGATACAAATAGGGTTTCTTCCTCCTCGCCTTAGCTTCTCTAAACTAAATCAGCAGAATATATCAAGTCCATTTCTTGACCTGGATAATTTAATTGAAATTTCCGTCATTTCCAGGCTGTGTTATTTTTGAGAGGTAATTGTAGCTTGCGGCTACTCCATCTTCACACAGTGCTTTTCTTTACAATATTTATTTCCAGTATCTCTCTGGAGTCTGGAACTGAATTACGCAAACTTCCCTTGTAAAGGGCCAGATAGTGATTATTTTAGGCTTTGTGGGCCAAGAGGCAAAAATCAAGGACATTGTGTAGGTACTTATGTAATCAGAAAAAAACAAATTTCCACAAATTTATATTGATGAAATTTATGATATTAAGTAATAATTGAGTATACTATTATGGTAGTACAGCATCACTAATTTTTTAAAAATGGAATTGGGAGGGAGGGGGATAAGATTTTGCTTAATTGGAGTTCAAAGTCAGTGTCTCATCATCAAATTGATTGCAAGTGTTCACCTGTGAAAACCATCCTTAGCCTCTACCAAAACAGACTGAGGGCCAAACTTTGCTGACACTGGGTCTAAACCATAATAACTTCTCTCACTTCGGGTTGTCTCTTCAGGGTAATAGAGGACCAACATAATTTTTAATAGATCCTTAATGATAGAAGAAAGCAAAATGATTCTCATCTTAAGGTCATTCTTCTGGAAAAGTGCTGGGAGCAGAGGGGAAGGGCTTCATCCACATACCATCTCTTGGTATTAAGGGAAATGCCACTTTCTAAATAGAATGATATAATGTCTGGTCATTTGTGACTGGCTACTTTCACTTAGCATTATATTTTTAAGATTTAACCATGTTGTAGCATGTATCAGTATTGCATTCTTTTTTTATATAGTGGTGAAAGATACTTAACATAAAATTTACCATTTTAACCATTTTTAAGCGTACAATTCAGTGACATCTCCTACTCCCAAATGCACCCCCAAATAACCTCAACTTTCCTGTACACCCGTTTTCCCCTACGTGCTTCCTGCTTCCCGGAGACCATTCATGAGAGGTGCATTACTTCTGTACCATCTGCCTTTTCCACATCCCTCTGGACTGATGATCCCTCTGAGACCTCTGCCCCTTGATCCCTCTCCCTCCATTATCCTCCTTCTCACCACACCTCTCTGAAAACTGTATCCCCCCTCCTGCCCCAGTTCTTGCATCTGTCCTCCCTTCTCAGCTCTGCTTCAGTCTCAGTCTCTTCCTATCCCTCCCCTCTTTGTCCCTTAGCCATCTGGCTTCTGTCTCTGGCTTCCTCTGAAACCGCCTAGGTATATTATATTAGCCTTTTGCACAATCCAGAGGATCTTTTCTGTAGCATCTTACTGGAACTTTCTGGAGGCACCTGGCACAGTTGATGCTCTATTTTCTTGGGAAAGGCTTTCCTCCCTTGACTTTGTGGCTGCATTTCCCACTGGCTCTTCTACTTCTCTGACACTGTTTTTGCTGTCTCCTTCTCACACTCCTCTTTCTCATGCCCTCTTCAGACACAGGTGTTGGCAGCAGAGAAAAAGTGGCTGTGTTCATTCTGCTCAA